GAAGAGATGGAGGGAAGAAATTGCTGTGTTGATGCGATGACAGGTTATGCATTGAGTGTAGCTGATGATGTAGAGTCATTTGAACCTGCCACATATAAACAAGCAATTAGTTGTAGTGAGTCTGCGCAATGGCTTGCCGCAATGGGTGAAGAGATGCAGTCCCTTTACAAGAACAGAGTGTGGGAACTGGTAAAGGTACCGGAAGGGAGGAAGCTTGTGGGTTGTAAATGGATTTACAAGAAGAAAGAAGGGTTGTCGGAAACTGAGCAAATACGTTTTAAGGCTAGGCTAGTTGCTAAGGGGTTCAGTCAGGTAGAAGGGGTTGACTTTGTTGAGATATTCTCACCTGTGGTTCGACATACTTCTATCCGTGTGTTATTGTCAATTGTAGCACATTTTGATCTTGAGCTGGAGCAGTTGGATGTTAAAACGGCCTTCCTTCATGGCGATTTGGAGGAGGAGATTCTGATGAAGCAGCCCGAAGGATTCGAAGCTCCTGGAAAGGAACACTATGCCTGCAGATTGCTAAAGTCATTGTATGGACTTAAGCAATCCCCCCGACAGTGGTACAAAAGGTTTGATTCTTTTATGGTTTCACAAGGTTTTGACAGGAATTCATATGATTGCTGTGTGTATCATAGTAAGCTGGATAATGGTTCCATGATTTATCTTTTGTTATATGTTGATGACATGTTGGTTGCCACAAAGAATAAATCTGATATTGCTAGATTAAAGGAGATGCTTAACTCGGAGTTTGACATGAAAGACTTGGGTGCAGCTAGGAAGATTTTGGGTATGGAGATCTACAGGGATCGGGCTAGAGGTAAGCTTTTCTTGACTCAGAAAAGCTACATTGAAAAGATTTTGTCTCGTTTTGGGATGGAAAAATCGAAGCCTATAAGTACGCCAACTACTGTTAGTTGTAAGTTGTCTTTGTCTATGTCACCTCAATCAGAGGAGGAGTTGTCTTATATGTCTAGAGTTCCATATGCAAACGCGGTTGGTTGTTTGATGTATGCTATGGTCTGTACTAGGCCGGATATTGCGCATGCTGTTAGTGTTGTAAGCAGGTTTATGGCTCGACCTGGGAGGGAACACTGGCAAGGGGTGAAAAGGATTTTTCGCTACCTGAGAGGGACAGCTGATATTGGTCTTGTGTACGGGAATGGTAAGGAATGCTTGGTCACTGGGTACAGTGATTCTGATTATGCAGCTGATGTGGATACCAGGAGGTCTGTGACTGGTTATGTGTTCACTTTGGGTGGTTCTGTGGTTAGTTGGAAGTCTACATTGCAGTCATCAGTTACGTTGTCAACTACTGAAGCTGAGTATATGGCTTTAACTTCTGCAGCTAAGGAGTCTATTTGGCTCAAAGGCCTAGTAGGTGAACTGGGTATTGCACAGGATTTTGCTACAGTGTATTGTGATAGTCTAAGTGCGATTTGCTTAGCTAAAGATCAAGTACACCATGATCGGACGAAGCACATTGATGTCAGGTATCATTTCTTGCGTACTGACAAGAGGATTAAGGTGAAGAAGATTGGGACTGCTGACAACCCGGCTGATTTCTTCACTAAGCCTGTTCCGTTTAGCAAGTTTAAACATTGCTTAGACTTGCTAAATATTGATTACTACGTGATGTAGTAGGCCCTGAGGGGCGAAGTTGGGGAGCTCCTGGTGTAGGTGTGTTGGCATTAAGGTGGAGCTTGCCCGGGGCTTGTGATGCAGGTGGAGCATTATGAGTTGTTATACTTGGAGACGAGTATGTGATGGGTCTTGGTTGAAGACTTATCGGGATGTATGGCTTATGCATGAGTCCTGCATCGGGTTTGGCTTGAGATGTTTTTTCACTATGTCTTGATGGGGTCGTTTGCTGACTACGAGTTCTCGTCAAGGTGGAGATTGTTGATAAGTATATTAGGTGACTCGTACTTCGTAGCTTTGTCCGCCCGATCGGGCGGACATTGCCCGGTCTGACCGGGCGGAAGAAGAAGAGGTGCCTGGCAAATTCGTTGAAGAAGCTGCTCTCGCGCCCGACCGGGCGAGCCTTCGCCCGACCGGGCGAGCCTTCGCCCGATCGGGCAGACCTTGCCCGGTCTGACCGGGCGGTGGGGGTTGGATACGTTGAAGCATTCGTATGGAGTCTTCTTCTCGCGCCCGATCGGGCAGACCTTGCCCGGTCTGACCGGGCGGAGAAGGAAAAATACGGAACGCGGATTTTGCAGTTTTAGGTTATCTTATTTTATTATCTTTTTGCCCAAGTATCTTTTAATTAGGGATTAATATAAAACCTCCCTAATATCAGTATTAGGGTTAAGAGAGATAGAGTGAGAGCCGTTCTTGAGAAATACAAGAATCATCTTTGTAATCTTTGCAGTTTATAGTGAAATCATTCGATCTCGGTGCCCGTGGACGTAGCTATCACATCGATAGTGAACCACGTAAATTCTTGGTGTTGTTCTTATTGTTTGCATTGAATTTCTTTATTGTTTTCTTGTTTGTTTTCGACCTTTGCTTCCGCTGTCGCACAACACTTCTTCTCTCTAATAACATAATTAAAGATACATCTTACTCATATAATAACTTACAATGTAACATTTCCTTCTTAGATTGTCTTTAATACTTTAAAATCTATTGACATGCACAAACTACGCAAACATAATTACCGTGTAATAGAACCACCAAATATATTACTTACTTATAATAATCACCGCAATTGGGGTACCGCAAGCGAAGCACGCGGGACCACAACTAGTTATATTAAAATAAACTTAACTAAACTAACATACATTATATAAAACTAAACTAAATTAAACTACACTATATTAAAATAAACTAAACTAAACTAACATACATTATATTAGGGTTTGTAATGTGACTAACCTTTAGATCTACACTTCTTTTTGACAATTAAACTAACTAATTGTAATCCTACAAAATAATTAAAAATAAAAAATAAGTAAGGGTTTATTATTATACCAAAATAAAATTGAATTGAAAAATTGGGGAAAAAGAACTCACCATGGGTGGAGGACAACTAGGCGATGGCTGCACGACAAGCTTGGTGGAGGTTGCGTTTGTGGTGGCTGCAAAATAAGGGTGGTGGAGGAAATTAATTCATTAAAAAAAATTAAACTAATAACAACAACACTAACCTCACGGCGGCGGCAGGGGCGGCAGAAGGTGGATCTAGTCGCAACAATGATGGAGGAACAAGGGTGGCTTTAGAAGAAGGTATGGTGGTTAGGTTTAACCAAAACAAAAAAAGAAACTGCAGCACTACTTAGCGAGCGGCGGCCTGGGAGTCACAAGGGGACGGCGGTCAAAGGCCGGTGGTTGCGGTGAAAGGCCGGAGGTGGTTGCGGCAGATTTCTGGTGGATGTTGGGTCTCTTTCTCTTCCTCTTTCTCCCTTTCTTTTGTTCTCTCTCTTTCCTTTTTTCTCTTTCTATTTCATGAAATACGAAGAACTTAAGCATCCTGGGTATCTTTTTTATTGGTTCCGACGGAATTTTTTTCTGTCGGAATTTAATGCTACTCCGTAGGAAAAAAAACTCTGAGGGAATATTTCATCGGAAACATTAAATTACGACAAAAAAAAAATTCGTCATAATATTTCCGAGGGATTTTCCGTTGTAACATACCTTTTCCGACGGAATTTTCTGACAGATCCAAATTCCGTCAAAAAATTCGAATTTTTCGACGGAATCTAGTAGTGTCTGACAGAATTTCCAACGGAATTTTTTCGTCATAAGAGATTTTTCGGCCCCGAAAAAGTACGTTTAGGGGGAGGGGGAGGCTGGCGCGCTGGTGAGAGATGGACTGGGCATCGGCATGGGTGGGGGCGGAGAGTGGTGGTTGGTTGGCGGGGGAGGGGGTGGCTTTTTTTTGTTTTAAAAAAATTACTTCTTTTTATGGAAATTTTTTAAATTACCACCCAAAAATGACACCATTTTCAAAATAACCTCTCATTTAATTTTTTATTTAATTTTACCACCCCTTATATTAAAAAATTAATCGGATTATCACCTTTTTCAAAATTCCGGTGTATTTCTCTTTTGTGTGCCCCACCTACCTTATTTCCCTCCTTATATTTGTTCATTTATCTCGACTTCACTCATCTCCCATCCCCACAAAATTCAATTCCACAAAACATCGTGGCCATCAATTTCATCTCATTAGCTTCAATTTACGTCTCAAAGGTCGACTATCCCAACGATTTGTCTCTTACAATTAATTCCCTTAAGAACTCTGCTAATGACGCCTCATCTCATCGAATTGCTGTTCTTCTTGAAGTTGATGGGTAATTTCAAAAAACCCCCAATTAAATTGTGTCAAGAACCCTACTTTTAGAAAAACCCCAATTAATTTGTGTCAGGAACCCTAAATTTAGAAAAACCCCAATTAATTTGTGTGAGGAACCCTAATTCCAGAAAACGCCCAAAATTATTTGCCAAAATACAAAAAGAATTGAGCTTACCTAAATGGGACTTAAGTGACTGCACTTGGTTGGGTAAAATTTTTCAAATTAAAGCTTGCAAAAATTGGGAGAATTTGAGGTAAATGATTTAATTTGTGGAGGGGTGTGAGAAGTTTAATACAACAAAATCTGAGGGAAAAAACGAAAATATGGGTCAAATTAGCCGATAATCGAGGCCAAAAAAGTGACCGGAAAGAAAGAAAAGGTAGTGATTTAAATATGTTTTTAATTTAAGGGGTGGTAAAATAAAATAAAAAATTTAATAGGTGGTTGTTTCAAAAAAAGTGTATTTTACGGGTGGTAATTTAAAAAATTTCCTCTTTTTATTTAAAGTAAAAAAATAATAAATAAATTAATTAATTATAGTTAGATATTTAACTACAATTAAACATTAATGTCATGGTTGGCTTAATATCAAAAATTCAAGTTTATTAATATAATAAGAATTTTCGCAATTTACCACTAAGAAAATTAAAAACTACGATATTACCAAAGAGAATTTTCCAAAAAAAATTCATATTGTTAGCTTTATAAAAAAAAAAAAAAAAAAAACACATATACGTACAAGGTACAACGTACTGACGTAGTAGGTACTTAGGTAGAACAAATTAAGAGTACCATTTTCTCACATCCTAAGGCCATAATTATTTTATAATCAGAACCGAAATTAATTACCCATCATTTAGACATTATAAGATATGATCGATCAAATGCACATCATTTAGACAAAAGATAGATTACTTTTGTTTGTTCCAAGTTTTTTTTTTATCCGTGAAAAAGTTAACTGTTCTGGTATTAGATTCTTCAAATTGCCAATTTTGTGTTTTTGATTTCTGGGTTGAGCTATTCTGATGTGCTTTCTTGTTATTTTACCCTTTCAGGAAGATGCTGAGATCAATTTTGTTGAAGGATACTGCTCGATTGAACTCCAGGCTTTCTGGATTTAACCAATTGGTAAGTTATCTTGCAAAGTTGCAATGTGCTTTCAGTATATCTATATCATTGTCCTAAGTCCTAACATATTGTATGATTGAATAAAACAGAGAGGATTGCACAGCAGAAACAAGAACAGACGGGTCGACGGTTTCAGGTGTATACTCGGCGTCCAAGAACCTTGGGGCAGCAACAACAACAGCAACAGCACACTGATCAGCAAGAAGACACAAACAGCAGCAACTACTCAGGCAGCAGGGATGCAAGGCAGTAAACAACAAACATGCTAGAAGGGAGACTAGTTTTGGGAAGAGACTATTTTGAGCAAGGCAACAAGGCAAAGCAGATGTTTCACTGTTTGGGAAATAAGACTTTAGACTCTTATTTCCTTACTTTTGTATTATCTATTTTTAGCACTTGAGGAAATCAAAATTGTAATATAATGAAAGGCTTATAGCCGTTAGCTATTACAACTTGAATTGCTTTTTGTTAGCCTGTCTTCCTTGGTTCTTCTCCTGTAAATGCTACATGATGGGCTGGGTTGTTTATTGTTTTTAGAATTTTTCTGCCATCGTTAGTAAATGCAGCATAAAGTTTGATAAGACCTCTTATTATGGTAATACAGGTCACACTGTTCCAGAGTCCATAACTAAGTTCAACTTGAAGAAACGAAAGGCTGGGATGTAAGCACCATTGTTCCAACATTATATGGTTAAATAAATAGTCTCTCTTCTTACCCCTTATTTCTAATATTCTGATCACCTCTTCTACTAGTATAACATTATATGGTTAAATAACTTGAATTCCAACAGACCAACAATATGTATAATTGTCAAAACCGAATGGACTGAACTGAGCTTCTAGTCTGATAGGCATCAACCTCAGCTGCAATTTGTTCGCGCCTTCTCTGTAAACATGTTGCCAGCTCCAAGGCCTCCAATCGCCTCCAACTATGTAATCCCCATTCCAGTAAATCAGGGTAATTGCAGTGATCCTCACCATTAACGTCAATCCTTTGTTGCAATCATCAGGAGATATTTTAATAGAATTATAGCCAGCAGAAGTCTTGCTTTTACGAAATACCTCCTAAGTTCGACAGCATAAAATTCATTTCTTCTTACTGTATCATTTGTTGGGATTCTGGTGTTTTCTTCCTATCGCAAAAATTACCATTTTTATTCAGATTACGTGGTCATAATTCCTTTATAATTGGATATATAATTTATATAGCTAATTCCTTAAAACTGAGACAACCAAAAAGTTGGGCATATCATTCAAGGGCATAGATTATAGACTACCAAACATCCCAAACATTGGCTCTGTTAGAGGGATTGGATGTACACTACCCAGAATGTTTTATAAACACGCACTCGGATTTCATACTATTCCTAGAAAAATAAGCAGCCAACAGACAATTAGATGATCTAACAAAGATTTCATATATCTCAAAATATTGTTCCAAGCCAATGAGCAACAGTCAAAAACATAGATATACCAACCACCCGTACCTGAGTAATACCATATTCAGGAGAGTTGCAAGGATCAGCAGCATATTCACTATTCAGCAACTTCAAGATCGCAAGGCCTTTACTCGTTACGGACACTTCGACTTCTCTTAATCTTAGCTTCAATTAGATCATCGGTTTTTTTACGAGCTTTTTCATAGCTTGTATTCAAAAACATTCCGAACTCACTAGCCTCCTCTACAACCTTTTGCACTTCATTTTCATCAGGTCTGGGTGTTAATATCTCATTGTTTAATACCATGTACTCATGAATCACCTTTTGCCCATTTGACCTCCAGTTTCTAATTCTACTCTTCCATATTTCTCCATAATTATCAACACTTCGATGCTCCCTCATAATTTCACTGATATCAGTTGATATCACTCTATCTCTCACACTCTCACTAATAAAAACACATAAAGAAGCCAAAGGCCTTTTGAAACTATCGAAATCGTCAGATGAATCTAACGTTTGGACGGCATTCAACATCTTGCTAACCCCCATACCAACCTTTTCCAAACTCCCTAAATGAGCATAAGAGTCTTTGTAATTCAATAGAACTACATTAGGGATGATGTTCATATAATCCTCCATAATGGTAACAGGTTGAAATGTTAACATATACCATTTTTTTGAAGCATCCCTTTTTTTCCGAAATGCAAAAATATATATATCATACATTCTTACTAAAACGAACACCGCGAAACCATAAAATTGCAGTTCAACCTCAATGAAGTTATGTGCAAATGCAGAATCAGATAACTCTCTAGTAATGTGAACATCTAAATAACTCCTCTCTTCCCCAAGACTCCTCCTTAAATCAGTAATAAAAGTATCATAATCTGTGTTTTCTACATTATAAATAATTCGACCTAAAATATACTTATTTTCAAATTCTGCTTCCATGACAAAAGAAAAAGGATGGTGGTGGTGGTTTCGTGTGGGTGGTAGTGGCAAGGGATGTGAGCTTGGATAATTGTTATTTGCTTAATTATCTTCTGTTTTTCTGTTATGAGCTGGAGGGTTTGTTAGTCTTTTGCTTAAGTGAATATTTTCTGTTATTTGGGGGGAATGAATGTGTGGGGAAATCTCTAGAAGGTTAGCAAAAGCAGCTCCAGTTGCATTTTCCAATGCATTTAAGGGCTCTCAAAACTCCACTCCTTATACTCTCGTACCCCTTTTGGAGTGATTGCCGCTTCAATTACTGGAGGAATCTCACTTTATTACCTCACTTCTTCCCCAAATTTGGTATATTTATGGCTTAATTATATATGGGATTTCCATCGATTGCTCATTTTATAATACAATGCCCTTTAATTTTGTTGATTGTTTGGTATATTTATTGACTGAGGGGGGTTATTAATCCCTGTTATTTGGTTTTGACTGTCGAAATGGATTAATGGGTCAATATATATTTTTGGTAGTGACATAAATATTTGTCGTTATCTAACACGCCTGCTTCAATCAGGTTATTTGTCCACTGAAAATATTCATATTATTTGTCAGTATTCTCACTCCTCACTAGCCACGCCAAAATAGCTTCATCGAAGAGAGAGAAAATCAAGAAAAGCTTGAATCTGCAACAATGGAGGACGAATTGTTGAAGCGTAACACTGACTGTGTCTATTTCTTGGCCTCTCCTTTCACATGCAAGAAGGTTCATTTTTTTTTCTTCATATTTTTCCATAATTTTTTGAATCTTATTTCCGTATTTTCCTTTCATTAAATTATGATTTTATTTGTCCTTTGTGTTTCTCTGATTGTGTGGTTTTGATTTTTGAATTTCCCATGAAATTTATTTGTACTTGATTATTCTGTAATTTTTGAATTTTTGTTGTGTTCTGTTGGGTTAGGGTTTCGGTTTTGATTCATAAAAATCAAGATTTTTGTGCTTTTGATCGTACATTTTCTTTCAGTAAACGAATTAGTTGAATTTAGGGTATAATATTGTTGTTGGTGGATGTAATTGTTGTTTTTATTGTTAAATTTTGTTCTGACTGCTAGTTTTTGTTATTCATAATGTTTAATTTTGCAGATTTTCGGTGTTCTTTAGGATTAGGGTTTTGGTTAATTTCATTTGACTGAATAGGAATTGCTTGCCGTTGCTAGAGATTATGGGCCTTATGGCTGTTGTCAGATGTAAATTGCTGTTTTACTGTTTGATTTATTGAGGATTGAGAAAGTTTTGCATGCATTTACATGAACAGGGTGTAGAGTGTGAGTATCGGCATAGTGAAATGGCGAGGTTGAACCCACGGGATTGCTGGTATTGGATGTCTGGAAATTGCCTAAATCCGACTTGTGCATTTCGCCATCCGGTGAGTTTTGCATAATATTGTTTTCAATTTGTTGAATTTTTGATGTCTTGAGTGATTATAATGAACGTCAAATGGTATAGTGAGCTGAGTAAATTGTTAATATACTTTTTTTTTTTGAACTAGTAGTACTTTATATGTGGCAGAGGTGCTTGCAAATTTCAATATATACTCTAGATTGCAGGGATTGATCTGGAATTTGCATATACCGTATACTCATCTCGACATGTTTGCCTTGTTAGAATATACCTTATGGTATAATTAGACTTTTTGTGGATCAAGTTGTGTCCAAATGCTTAATTGTGCTTCTCAAACAGTTTAGTGAAGGAAGAATCTTTTTTTATGTAATTTTTGATAAGGAAAGATACATATAGGTCAGGGCAGTCTTCTCTCAAGAATAATGCAAATATAGAAGTTGCGGTCATTATAGACGTGAAGGCACTATACACTATAGTATAAGTCATAATGCATGTGATAATTTTTTATTTTTTTTTTCCATTCTTGGCCTAAAAAGGATGTGCACTGGCTTTTAGCAGGAGAAAATTATGTCTACCTACTTTGGATAGTTTTTCTCTTTAAAGTTGCTTTAGTCTTGAAATTGCTTACTGGGGATGAAATAAGTCATACATGACTAGATCTTTGTTTGAACTATAGAAATGGTGGCATATAACCCTTAATGTAACAAACTAGGTAAAAGATGATTCTACATTTTAAAGGAAGGCATTTTTCAGTAGAAAATTATAATTTTTTTTACTGTTTTGTTAGACCATCTGATATTGGATGGAACTATGGAAGTTATGCCCTTTGTTTGTTGTGGCAAATTTAACAGTGTCAGATTGTTACAAAAAGTCACCTAATTTTCCCTTTTGACAAATTTATAAGTTGTCTCAAGAGTGCCCAACTCTTACCTTTTGCTTGAATCCTTCCTGTTCAAAACTGTTACAAAAAGAAATATGATGGGATTGAGGTTTCAGCAACCTATGATATTTCGCCTCCTCAAATAGATTGGAAGACGATGAAGCCGTCGGAGTTTCAAATTATTGGTAACAAGAGATACTTGGTGTAGAGCAGCACGAGTCAGGAGAGGGTACGTTGTGTCTGTCTTCACAGTACCAAAATTGTATTTTGAAGATGTGGTTCATCCTGTTTTAACTTAAGCTATCTAATTACGTTTGTGTTTGTTAATTTTAAAAATAAGCACTTTGATGCTCAGTTTATTGTTCCTGTTTGTGATATAAGTATTGGTTGTGTTGTATTATAAATTTATGACGGTGAATCTATATTAAGTACTTGTTTTCTAGACCTCTCACCCTTTTTCATTATGATTTTACCAGTCTATTAAGATTTCATTTAATATACTACATCTAGTTATGCTTTTGATGTATATATTTAACAGTAAGCTGTTAGGTACCGTTGGTAGTTTTTTGCAATGTAATGGTTTATAACTATTTGTTGTTAAAGCCACATCATGGTTCATTGCTACTGCTAGTATGCTTGCTGCTCCTGGTTATAATGGTTGTTCATCCTTCTTTCTTATGCTCCTGATGTACTCTAATTGTGTTCTTTTCATTTTATTTATGGATGAAAATTGTGAAATCACTGGCTATATAATGAATAAAAAAATATTTAAGGATATATATATATAAACAACTTTAGCTGAAAAAAGTTAAGTCATTAACGACACGACACCGGTTCTGAAACCGGTACCTAATAGTTGCAAAGGCACTAATTCAAATCGGTGCCTTTGTACAATGACACACTGTAAAAGGAATTAAGACATAAACAATGTACTTATTTTCCTTCTATCTCAATCATTGCTATTCTCATGGGATTGAATCTTATTAACTCCCCTAATAACGTACAAAGAACGAAAATGTGGGATCGTATCCGTATATCAACCTTATCTTCTTTTAATGGAAGGAAGTTAAAGGGTTGTGTAAACGTGTAGGAGGCGAAAGTATGATGTTAAGCCAGTTGATTCATTATTGGCATCGAGTTACCTCCATGAAAAAGACATTGATTTCGAGCCAGTGGTTGTCAATCCGAAAGCTAAAATACCATCAGCAATATTGGATGTTATGGAGATGACTTAGGCCTGTTGTGTATGAATTTGTAGTGGTTGGCTTGTGTGTACTTTCATATGGGAGTATTGCGTACTCGTTGGCAAAAATCTTGTCGCAAAACAAATGCTTCCTCGTAAAAGAACCTTTCAGAGATATAACGCTCTTCTCTTTATAGAAGCACGAGTGTAAATAAAAAAAAAAATGAGACATCCATATCAATATTCACAAATTCTTCAAAAATGCAGATGTACATTAATTTATTGTAAAACGGGTTAAAGTTGTGTTAAAAGTACTTAAAGTTACCCTTTGTATTGCTAAAGTTATTATTATTTCTATTAATAAATTTTATCTTACAAAAAACTTTTAATGTATTTAATTAATCATATTAATCTTTATATTATGTAATCACGTATCTATAAGAAATTACACATTAAAATAGCGACAAATTAAAAGTTACCCTTTAAATGGTTAAAGTTACTATAAAAATAGTTAAAGTTACGCTCAAACCGACCATTTTACAATAAAATTAATGTACATCCGTTGTACACAAGACTTATTAATCAATATTTTAATTAAATGATGATAATGACAGTTTAGGGATTAGAGGGTGAAAATCGAATTAGGAATTTGTGATTGAGAATTCAATAAAAGATAATCCCTTATAATGGGAATTAATTTAGAATAATTAATATCAAAGTTATAATAATAGTACAAAGTACTTAAAACATGGGAATTAAACCATCCCAATCTCAATCCCAATTACCAAGTGACAACCAATACAAACATAACACAAAGGTAGGGAGTTAATTCTAAGAACCGTGTCTCTAACTTCTTCTGATTAGTAATTTAAGCATCAATTTGACAAGCATGTCATCCCCTTCCTTGTCAGAAACGATCATCTCAAAACCTAATGGATACTTTGGAATGTCTTTATTGAATCGAATAAGTTCGACCTTGCCCTTATCAGAATAAACCAAGTCGAATTTCATGATTGAGGAGTAACCATACGGTACAACCAGATGCGATCTTAGAAGAGGAATGTTGTAACAAGAACCCGTATGATCCAATATCAATGGCACAGGGTTTGTCGCGTTAAATAGCACAATATCAAGACAATCGTCCTCTAAGTCTTGGGTTGCAAGAGAACGAGTCCGAGAATCAAACGGCCTTCCATACTGAAAAACAATGGTTCCGCGAACCCAACTGTCATCTTCAGAGTTAGCAGAATGTTTCATTAGAATAGCATCCTTTATAGCATAAAAACCTGCTGCTTGGTTAAAAGTGTAATATATGGTTGCACAACCCATACTACCAAAGATACGATCAACACCCAACTTTTTAAAATTGCCATTTTTCCCTGTAGTAAATTTTGCAACAACTTTGCCCTCAATTGTATTACCATCTCTATCTTTGAGATCAAAAGTGAGAGTGAAAATTGATCTAGCACGGAGTGACCGATTAAAAGCTAGAGGCAAGGAACCAGTTATAAGACTGGCATCATCAAATTGTCGATTGAAGATGCAAAAAGTACCATCTTCATCTTCAACAAAAATGTTACCATAAACATCAAACTTGTCAACTGCATCATGCTTTATTCTCACCGAAAACAAATCACCAAATGGACTTTTCTCAACTCCCGAGAAACCAACTCCATCTTCTACAAACTTACCATTATCCATCTCAACCTGTTATCACTAATATCATATCAATCAATATAATGCTGAATTATCACTAATATCATATCAATCAATATAATCCACCCAAAAAAATAAAAAAAAACTCACAAGAGAAACAATACAGAAAAGAACACAAATTTAGGTGATTTCATAGTTTCAATTAAAACACCTTCACCAAAAAAAAAAAGTTTCAATTATATTATACCTCAAAAATCACATGATTTAAGGGAAGAAAGGTACAATTGATTCAATTATTGAATTAGGGTCATAATTTTCTTTTCTAACAACATAATCGCGGGTTATATTAGAATTAGAATCAATAGTTCAAATTGTCGAACCCTAAACTTACTAAACTGACAATTAAATCAATAAAAAAACCTAGATTGTGAAATTGACATGATGATTACAAAAAGAAACAACAAATTACCTCGTAAGTTGCTTCGATGGAGAACGTTGAGTGCGCGCTTCAATGGAGAACGTTGAGAGAGGAGGAGGTGGAAGGGCCGTAGAGGGCTACGTTCGTCCGTTTTTTTTCGTCTTATATTGACAATTAGCGCCCATTAAAAAACCTAACCCGCCCTAGCTATAAATGGCTCGGATCCTCCAATAAATAGATGAGGTGAGTCTTTTGGAATTTTTGGGTAATTATTACTGATACCTCCATCTTTTGGCTTTTATCTTTGATACTCATCATTAAATTTTTATTATCAGCGGTATCTTCATAATTTTCACCTAATTACTACAGTAAGCACGTCGTTAATAAAATGTTTAATTAGTTAATTTGAAATGTTTTAGTTGGAAAAATGAGGAAAAGACTTCAATGCCCTCCCATTTAATCTCCCTCCAACATTTCCCTCCTAAAATCAATTCCCACCACATTAACCTTATAAATACATGCTCTTCTCTCTCGTTTTTCTTGCTTTCTCTTTCTCTTTCGTTTTTTTTTTTTTGCTTTCTCAATTTTTTTTTAAAGTTAAATCTGCAATGGCTTCCTCTTCTGGCACAAGATCTTTTGCAAGCAACAGAAATTTAAGAGGTGTGTGGGTTAAAACCATTACCTGCAATTGTAATCCTCCAAGATCTGCAGACATTAGTTCTCAAACTCAGCAGCTAATCCTGGAAGGGCCTATTACAAGTGCAGGCTCTGTGATTTGCTCTTGTGACTCACTGATGAACATATTGTAAGGGATGTTGGTGGCAGACCTGGTGACATGTTAGAAGCAGCATATGTTCAACTATTAAGGGCAGAATTCACTGAGTTCATGAAGAAGACAGATGACTTTGCTGATTTTGTTCATATGGTTGTTAAGATTGTTGTTGTTATGTATTTAGTCTTGTTGGTTGTTGTTTTGAAATAGATGTAGTTCAAGAGTGGGTGTGTGAGTTGCAATGAGAACTTAGTTGTGAGATGTAATTTGAATTGATAATAATAAAATTGTTTGCTTTATGTTATACTCCCCTGTTTCATTAATTATTAACACTTAAGGTGCACTAACAAGAACAAAGTAATAAAATTAGGGAAACTAACAAGAATAAAGTAGTAAAATTAGGAACAATAAAAGGCATATATTAACCCAAACATACTGTTTCAGAAGGTTACGTCAAAAGTTAACTTGTACCAAGTTCCCAACAAGTACACTTGTCTCACAAAAAAAACTTAACCAATTGTTTGATCAAACAGCACCAAACTTTGGTTTATATATACATCAAAAAGCATCTGCACATCTCAAAATTACATCCTTGTCTCGGCTATAGGACTGTGACAGGTCTTGTGGCTGACTTGACAGCTGTGCGCTTGTGAGCTCAGTTACAGACCCTTCAAGGCATGATTTTGATGTTGCTTCCTTTGCAACATTTGTCTGATCACTCACTCTTGGGCTGTGTATCTTAAGTGCTTCTCCGGCCCTTAGCTCTTTTCCTATCAGCCCTCCTTGGTTCACTTGATGATGTTGCCTTACCCTGGACACAAGAAAATACCCTCCACAAAGTTTAGAAGTTTAATTTTAGGTTATGTTTTTATGTTGAGCTATATATGCTTCTGCTATCATTATTGAAGGTGAAGATTTTCTTATCCTTTTGATCCTCTCAAAGGCATGATATATAATTGTAGACTATGTTTGTAAGGGGCCTTAAAGTGGTTGCTTATTAACATTCAATATTTCCAATCCTGTTGCAAGTATAAATCAAATTTCTAACTGAATTTGAATATACTTTTTTTGGGCGTTTTATCCCGTAGAATTTTCAAGTTTTTTTTTTCGTTTTTTGTTTTTATCATAACTTTTGACCTGAAACTTGGATTAAGACAAGTAAGATATCGTTGGAAATATCTATAAGTCTACTTTCCAACCCAATTCGAATCAAGTTAATATCATTTCTATATATTAAGATATGATTGAAATAGTGTAAGGGTGTTGGTATTGGACCAAACTTAGTATTGTAGTCATATCATAAGATCTAAAAATAATATTATATGATTCTAATTGGGTTAGAAAACAGACTTCTAGAGCTTTCCAATGATATATTATTTGTCTTAATTTGAGTTCTAGATCAAAAATTATGATAAAAATAAA